ACCACGCCCGGCTAATTTTTGATTTATTGTAGAGATGAGGACTCGCCAAGTTACCCAGGCAGGTCTCAAACCTGCGGTTTCAGGCAATTCACTCACCTCAGCCTCCCAAAGGCACGGGCTCAATGAATATTAAATGCTGATAACAACAAACCCATTTCCTCCCTGGGCACAGCAACTCATGCCTGTGATCCCAGCACTTTGGAAGGCTGAGACAGGAGTATCTCACTTGAGGCAAGGAGTTCAAGACAAACCTGGGCAACATAGCAATACCTTGACTCTCTATTTTTTTGAGTTGGGGTGTCACTCTGTTGCCCAGATTGGAGTGCAGTTTCATGATCATAGCTCATAGCAGCCTCAACCTCCCGGGCTCAAGCAATCCTCTCACCTCAGCCTCCCAAGTAGCTGGGACTACAGGTGCATGACACCATGCTCAGCTAATTTTTTAAATTGTGTAGTGATGAGGTCCTGCTATGTTGCCCAAGCTGGTCTCAAATTGCTGGGCTCAAGCAATCCTCCCACCTTGGCCTCCCAAATACTGGGATTACAGATGTGAACCACCATGCCCAATGAGCCTCCACACTCGGCCCTATTTCTATCAGAAAAAATTTCACTGAACTGAGAGACATCGATTTCCAGATGGAAGGGAAATATTAAGTGCTTAGAGCAATGAATGAAAATAAGCCAACAATAACACATGTCACTGGGAAATTGTGGAACACTGAGAATGAAGTAAAAAGTCTATAAACTTTCAGAAGGAAAAAATTACATCAGAGGATCAGGAATTAGATGGTTTTATCCTTCTTGATGGCAACAAAAGATGCTGGAAGAAAGACAATGGAGAAGATTTTGAATAAAGATAATTTGCAACCTGGAATGTGATACCTAGCTAAACTATCAACCCAAGGTCACACATGCAAGAACTCAAAAAATTTACTTCCCATGATCTTATAAAGTTAGTTACTGGGGCATCTGCTCCATGAAAACAAAGGAGTAAATCAAGAAAAGTACTCAAGTACAGAAAACAAGACCTCTAACACAGGAGAGAGGCAAAGGAATTCCCCAAGATAACGGTGAAGGGAGATGTCATGATGACAGCTATGCCCCCAGCAAAGGCAACTGGTTCAAAGTATAATGGGTCAGTGGGTCCTTATTTAAGAAGATGAAGCTGATTGAGGCCAGGAGTTCAAGACCAGCTCGTGCAACATAGAGAAACACCATCTCTACAAAAAACAAAAAGAAAAAATCCTTAGGCATGGTGGCATGCAACTGTAACCTCAGCTACTTGGAGGATCACTTGAGCCAGGAGTTTGAGGTTATGATCAAACCACAGCACTCCACCCTGGGTGACAGAATGTGACCCTGTCTTTAGAACAACAAGAAGAAGATGATGATGGTAATATTGATTAAATTGAATTAATGTCTTGATAAAAGATATAGATGACTGGGCTTGGTGGCTCAGCCTGTAATCCCAGTGCTTTGGATTGCCTGAGCCCATGGGTTCGAGACCCACCCGGGCAACTTGACCTTGTCTGTACAATAAATAAAAAATTAGCCGGACGTGGTAGTACGTGCCTGTAGTTCCAGCTACGTGGAAGTCTGAGGCAGAAGGATCGCCAGAGCCCAGCAGGTTGAGGCTGTGGTGGCCGTGAGTGGCCACTGCACTCCAGTCTGGGCAACAGAGTGAGACTCCAACTCAAATATATATATATAGATAGATAGATAACTGATGAATTATTTAGGGTCACATTGTTAAGTAGATAGAAAACCAAGCAAAAGAAAAACTAATGCAATTTCCAGTTTTAGAGAAAACAAAAAGCTGCATAGGAAAGGATAAATAATTATAGTTTGTTGCCTGCCTCAGCCCTGATTACCACCCATAGCAATATGAGTATAGATACTGAATACGGATTTTTTTAAAGAGTCTAAATCAAATGGTACTTAAAGGTGGAGAATGAGAACTATGTGTGGTATAGGCTGGGGGGGAAGAGAGCAAAATTCTGATTTTTTTATATTGAGAAACTTATAGATAATGCCTAAAACTAAAAAAAAAAAAAAATCCACAAGCAGCAACTTAGGGTGATATTTAGAGCCATGGAAGAACATGCCCCCAAAACTAGCTAAAAGGAAGCAAAGCAATTGCCTTTGGAAAAGGAGGAAATGGGTGAGGGAGGGTCAGACCTGCAGTTGTTTCTCAACATACTTTCTAAAACGAACAGATGTCCTCCGTGTGTATGCAACACTGATACGAAAACGTTAAGTGGAAAAGGTCTTGGGGAGGAGGTCGGGCAGCCGAACGTACGGAGCAGGAGGAGAGAGAGGGAGGGGAGACGGAGACAGGAGGGAGGAAAACGTCGACGACCACGGGGTGGGAAGGAGAGGGGCCACGGGACAGGGGCTCGAGGCGCGACGCCGCCGGCGGGAAGGCGCGGGCCGGGCTGCGGAGGCGGGGGCGGCACTCACCGGGGCCTCGGACATGAGCACCGGGTGCAGGTTCGGCTCGGACTTGACGTGCTTGCTGTAGGTGTGATCCAGGATGGCGCGGAAACACTCCCAGTCCTCGACTGGGGCCGGCAGCGCACGCGGAGAGGCGCGGGCGGGCGGGCGGGCGTGGGCGCGGGAGGCAAAGGGGGAGGGAGGCCACGTCCAAAGCAGGGCCGGGGAG